TCATGGAATGCAATAACACTCATACTGATTTTATCACATACTTCAAGTTTTTAAACTTTTGAAAAACTCAACCAGACTTCTTAATCCTAGTTGAGGACACTTGGAACATAGAGGTATATGAAAACTCTCAATGGATCCTGCAACAGAATCTGAAGACTCTCTCCAAAGAATTGAGTCTTTGGTCTAGAGAAACTATTGGGAATGTATTTGAAAATGTGAAACAATTAGAGGCAGACACCCTAAATATGGAGCAAACTTATGAATATGATAACTCGGAAGCCAATAGGGAGATCTTACATAAGGCACATGCAGAATATATCAAATGGTTAAACATGGAGGAATTAATTCTCAAACAAAAAGCCAAGTTGAACTGGACTGAATATGGAGATTCCAATTCAAGATATTTTCATAGCATTATCAAGCACAGAAGGAGAAGAACCCAAATCCACAGGATAAAGAATAGTGTAGGGCAGCGGATTCAAGGTAATTCTGCTATCTCAAACGCAACAGTGGATCATTTCGAAGAATATTCACAAGACAGGAGGAATAGGATATGGATAGAGTATTGAAATGGATTGAACCAATGGTAACGGAATAAGACAATACCAGGCTACAAGAAACTCCTACTGAAGAAGAAATCAAGGCAGCAGTTTTTTTCATAAACCTGAATAGTGCTGCAAGTCCGGATGGTTATAACGGCCACTTCTATCAAGTTACATGAAATATCATTAAAAATGATATTTGCAACTTCGTGCTAGCTTACTTCAATGGGTCATACCTGAGTAAATATTTTACACATTCATGCCTAGTTTTAATACCTAAAGTTAGCACGCCTTTAGATTTCTCTCAATTGAGGCCTATCAGCTTATGCAATGTAACCAACAAAATTATTTCCAAGATCCTAGCTTTTAGAATGACTTCTATTTTACCAACTATAATCTCTGAAAATCAGGCTGGCTTTGTCAGGGGAAGGCTCATTACAGAAAATATGTTACTAATTCAAGAGATTATTTATGGGATGAAGGAGCATAATCAAGGAGGAAACCTAGTCATTAAACTTGACATGTCCAAAGCTTATGACTGGCTCTCATGGACATTTTTGACAACAGTTATGAGGAAACTTGGATTCTCAGAAGGAGTAATTGAGTGTTTCTACAAGCTTCTTTCTAACAATTGGTATTCAGTTATTGTAAACGGAGCTAGATATGGTTTCTTCAATTCAACTAGAGGAGTAAAACAAGGAGATCCACTTTCTCCGACTCTTTTTATTATAGCTGTTGAAGCACTATTTAAATCTCTTAATCAACTGAACAACATGACCAACTACAAAGGATTTACTATGTGCAAAAAAGGACCTCAAATCAACTATCTATGGTATGCTGATGAATTGATTTTATTCATAACTGGTGATAAAAACTCAATCAAGATGGTCATGAGGGTGCTTAAGGACTATCAAAATGCATCAGGACAGGAGATAAACAAGCAGAAAACTAACTTCTACACCTATGGCCTTCAAAACAGAAGAACTATCATAAGGTTGGAGAGGTGGACTGGATACAAGCATTCTCAATTCCGCTTCACATATTTGGGTTGTCCAATATACACGGGGAGGAAGAAAATTGCATGTTTTGCGAATATGGCGACTAAAGTCCTGAATAAAGCAAATGCTTGGCAGGGAAAAATCTATGGGGGGAGAGCTATTATTATCAAACACATCCTACAATCTCAGACTCTACACTTGCTAAATGCCATGATTCCTCCAAAAACTATCCTCAACCAAATAGAATCTTATTTTTCTAACTTCTTCTGGGGTATGAAAGAAGGGAAGAACAAATATCACTGGAGTTCCTAGGATAAGATGTGCTGCCCATATGAGGAAGGTAGGGTTGGATTCAAGAAATTGCAAGACATATGCTCTTCATTCTCTGCTAAGAGATGGTGGAGACTCGGAACTGAAAAGAACACATGGACAAAATTTCTCCAAACAAAATATTGTCCTACGTCCAACTTACTATCAAAACATAAAAACTCCAAAGATTCTAATATTTGGAGGAATTTACTAGACACCAGGAAGATGATTGATTCCAATATCATGTGGAAACTAGGAAAGGGACATATTCTTTTCTGGTGGGATAATTGGCTTAGATCAGGACCCCTAGTCCAACACAATATCCAACCTAGGAAATCTGAGAACACAAAAGTCAAAGATTTCATTTTTGACAACAACTAGAATTCAAATGCACTCAGGAGAACTCTCCTGGATCACATCACTGAAGAGGTTTTAAAGGTGGACATTAGAAACAAGGAAGATACAGCTATTTGGTGCTTGAATCCTAATGGCCACTTCTTATGCTCCTCTGCCTTCAAAGCATTCAGACAAAAAAAGAACAAGAACCCATAACTTGCTAAGCTATGGAGTAATGAAGTACCATTCAAAGTCTCATTCTTGATGTGGAGGATCCTAAAAAAGAAACTTCCCATTGAGGAACATTTACATAGATTTGGACTCAACACAGCTACTGGATGTGTTTGTTGTAGAGAAGCCAAGGAGGAGACTGCTAACCATATTTTTATTCAGAGTGACATAACTTCTAATACATGGAGAAGAATTACTAGTACTCTGGGTATTGATATCATACTAGTGAGTATCCATAATACTCTTAATAAATGGTGGAAGCTCAAGCCTAACAACGAGGTTCATAAGATATTTTTACAAATTACCCCTATCATTGTATGTTGGGAGTTGTGAAAAGCTAGATTCTCCAAAAATTATGGCCAACAGGCTACATTACTGCCAAGAATTTGGCACCAGGTTACCTTCCAAGTAAAGGTATCTCTGGGCAAAAAGTTCAGTAGAATGGAATCCAAGTGGAACTGGAACATGATATGTAAAATTGCCATGAATTACAAGCCTAAGCTTATTAGCAAACTTGTGAAGTGGAATGACACTCTCTACAATTCTCTCACTCTTCACACTGACGGGAGCTACATGGCTAGGGTGGGCAAAGCTGGTGCAGGAGGATTTGTTAGGAGAAGAAATGGAGAGATGGTCATGGCATTTGCTATACCTCTCCAATTCTCAACTAACAATTATAGTGAGACCTATGCAGTCTTGCTTGGAATTAATTGGTGCTATGCACATCATATAGATATCTTGTGCCTTCAACTTGATTCACAACTACTTGTCAATATGATCAATGGCAAGCTCAATCCCTCATGGCACTTGTACAATAAAGTAGATCAAATACAACACAAAATCAGGGGAAAACAAATTCAAGTCTATCACTGTTATAGGGAAGAAAATAAGTTGGCTGATTCACTTGCAAAATATGCTACAACACTATGCCGAAATGAAGTCTATCTCCAGGAGAATGACTTACCCAGGGAAGCTAAAGGAGCACTTATAATGGACAAATTGGAACTCCCTTCCTTCAGGATAAGGGCAGCCAAACACTTCGGATGGTACTTTGATCCTCCTTGAACATCTTTCATCTTTTCTTCGAGGCATATTCTGATTCACCAAGTAGTCATGCCTTTTGTTTCGGCACTGCCAACACTCCTATAAGAAGTTGGCTTTGCTGAATTTTTTTATTATTTTGTCTAATGTTGGTTATGCTCTAGCATTGTTCCTAGTTGGTTTAGATTAACTAGGTTCTATGGAGGTTAGGTTTTATGTCCCCCTCCTTGTTGTACTAATTTTCCTTTAAGTTATTAATATACAAGATAGGGGTCTAGACCAAACCCCCACCACCAGGAGATGAAATCCTGGGTGGATGGATTGAATAAAAAAAAAGTGTAACATAACTATATTTCGTATGAAGTTGCTCAATAGACTATTCGTTGTCAATTGGTAATCATTGATAAACAATTTTTCGTTGCCTTATAGTTTTTTCTTCTTCTTGCAACTTCAGCAGTTCTATAAATCCAACAAAAGTGAAGGTTTTAGATTTTATGATCAATTTTGGTACCTCTTTTATACTCTTCTTCCGTTCCATTTTACCCTACACTCTTCTTTTTTTAGTCCCTTCCAAAAGAATTCTATATTAGGCAATCTATAATTTTAACTTTTAACTTTTGATTTTATCCTCAAGTGACACTCTTTTTTAGTCGCACAAATATCATGGAATGTTTGTATTTGCAATTACTTCTAAATTTCTTTCTTAAATCGTATACTCCATCAAATAGGTTTACATAAAATAAAACAACCGGAGTACTATAATTGAACCCTTCGAGGCCGTTTGGTTCTAGGGATTACGTGAATTATCTGAATCAAATTTTGGGATTAGATGCATGCTTCCCGTGTTCGGTTGAGGTATTAGCTAGAATTGGTACTCTCTATTTCAATATGTTTGAACATTTTCAGAGTATAAAGGTCAAATTGACTAATGTTTAGTATGAATTCGGACATAGATTCTTTAAAAAAAATTAAAATACAATTTAAAGATTTATAAACAACATAAAAAGTATAAGTTACAATAATTAACAATTTAAAATATTCAAAAATTATATGCAATAAATATGATCAAATAAAACCTTGTTTGATTTCCCATATAGTAATATGTTTATTCTTTTTTAAAAGAGCAGAGTATTATTTTTATACCAAAATGTTAATATGACTTAATGCATAAAGAAGGTGGGATCGATACTTATATACCCTGGTGATAATCCTAGAATTATATCGTGTAATATTCTCGTTTTCAACCAAACGAACGACCCCTTAATCTCTTGTTTTAAAAGGTAGGGATTGTTACACAAATAACTTGATATTTATTTTTTGTAACCGATATACACACACATACCGGTTATATATATNAATTAGATGGGCGGCAATTTAGGTTAAATCTTCTAAAAGGATATCAGGTCTAGGACAAACAAAATACCCGTTGTTACTATGGAATTCTTTTCTTTCCCCCTATGAATCACTAAACAAAAAGATGTGCTTAAATAGTTGTTGTTATCTTAAATGTTTTTTCACGTTTTATAATACATGCTAATAAAAATTAAATAACACGTTATATATGTTCATAATCAGATAGAAATGAAATAAACAAATAATGAGTCCTTAACTTCTTCTGTGCTACAACCTGGTAATGCTAGGGTTGCATTATTTACATACAAAATAACTAAGACACGAGTAATAAATAGCTGAGAATTTGGAGAGTAAATTGCACACTGCAAAAACCTACTCTACAGTGAATATATTGCAATTTATTTTGGACCCTTTTGTTAAGAAGTCACTGCTAATTGAATCTCCCCTTCTGTTATTGGCAAGAATCCTACACGTTTCTGCATTCCATAACAACGAAGAAAAATAAATCAGCAAAAAGCAGGTTATACAAACTGAATTTTCAAGATTATTTGTAACATCTTGATCAATAAATTTAAAATAAAAAAGGGTTATTCTACCAAATCGGCTGCCAAAAGCAAGATAATTGCTCAAAATCCCTACCCCCTAATTTTGGAAAAAGAAGTTTTTTCGAATATTTATCACCGGTATTTTACAGGAAATAGACAAAAAAACAAAAATAATGCTTAGACCGTTCCATTTTATATAAGACTATTATTTTTATTAGGGATCAAATAATTATGCTTAATTAGTTCAAGGTGTGATTACAGTATTTTTATGTACTTTAATATGTAAATTTATATTTAAAAAGATTAAGGGATGAATAAGGTGCTTTACCCCTCATAATTTCTAAAGGTACGTCATTCTTTTTAGCACCAAAAAATAAATAGTAGGAGTAGTTATATATTTTATGTTAAGGTACGTGCAACAAAAGTGGACGTCTTCTCATAGTTAGTTATCATGCGTCAATATACTAATATAGGAAGAGCTGAATAATTTCTTTGAATGAATTTTTAACTTTTTCTTAATTTTGGAATCTGTTACGCCTTCAAAATGTGCGGTCAATATTAAAGGAAATAATAATTGCAAATTGTTATCTTATTTGTTTGAGCACATTAAATCTAACGGAGAATGACAAGAAATCAAATAGATAATGTTAGACTAGTTTTTTGGTGGTCATTAGGTATGCATTTTAGCTGATATTGCACTTGACCTTTCAACAAGAATCTTTTTCTTTTAATTTCTTTTATATTTGGACAAACCTAATATTTTCTATAGTCATATACAAAGTCAGATTTAGTATTTAAATTTAATGGGTTTAGCTTTTAGAATTTTCAGTATTTAACTCATTATACTATTAAAATTTATGAGTTCAGATCTAATATTTGTTAATATTTTACTCTATGTATAAAGTTATGGGTTCAGATGAAACTCTCTCGAGTATACGTTATCTCATCGATCACGTATTAGTATTAGAGTATTATTTTATTCCTAGATCAGTTTCTTGTCTCTTTAAAGTTGTAAACTAAACTAATTTTTATTCGCAATATGCCCATAAAAGTTATATAAATAAAGTTTGACATAGACCATGCTTCTCGATGATAAAAGAATTCAATAAAAGGAGATACTTATGAGAAACCGAACAGAGCATGCAATATTTGAATTTTAACGTGTTTCTATCTATTTCATGGAGGTGACTGATTAAAATTTCAACTCTTATTAAATGAGAAAAAAGTAAAGGTCAACTTTCTGAAACCATTCTAAACTAATTGTTGAAATTTCATACCTAGTTTTGAAAGCTGCGACTTTGCTAACTCGTTTTACAGTAATGTTTTTTGGAGTCAGAAATTTACTAAGAAAATTTAAAATATATATATATATATATATATATATATATATATATATATATATATATATGTATACACACACAAAAATAAACACATGAAGAAACTAATTAAAAGATTCAATATAGTATATATACATAAAAATAACTTATCTACAAAGTGTAACTTTGGAAATACCATTAAGTTGGAAACCAATTTAAGAGTACAACAATAATATTTTTTCTTTTTTACAATCATAAATTTGTTCAAGTTTTCGTTGGGTAATACTCTTATTTTTTTCATTAAAACATAAATTAACACTATAAAAGAACTTTTTTTTTAATCTTTCTAGTATTTCTTTTTTACTACACATTTTTTAAAGTTTCGAATCATGACATTAAAAAAAATGTTCATAAAAGAGAAATGAAGTAAAAATGTTCATAAAAGAGAAATGAAGTAAACATGACACGAAAAGTGAATCAATGTACATAAGGAAGAGAACATTACCTCTCGAGATCTGATTCCTTTCTTAATAATTCCTCCATTATTATTCTTCCAATTACTTTGTTCTTCCAACAACGGACCACTTTTACTCTGAAACATGTCTCCACCACCACCATTGTTAGCCATGCAAAGTCGCATAATTTTCTCGGCAACATCTTCTTCTCCTTTACTCTGCATCATTAGTTTCTCCACCTCAGCTTTAGGCAACCTCAACTTTACCCTAACGGGCCCACCACCGTTCTCTGTCTTACTATTATTAAGCACTGAGCCTGAAGCATAGTTATTATGATATGACGACTCTTCTGTAATAATACTAACAGGCTTCAAGATTGACAAGTCAGACACCGATCTCCGTGCTAACATTAGGGTTTCGAGCCGATCTTTTGCGCTCATTTGGATTCCTGAACGGACTCTCCTCGGGGGTTTCTCTTCGGGATACTTAGGTAACTCAACTAGAAAATAGAGCCTTTTGGGTTTCAACTCTTGTTGTGGCTCCAATGGCTTTGCTTTGATCCCGAAATGCTTCACTTCTTCGGATTCTAATAATACCATAGAATTAGGATAACTTTTTAGAATCTCGTTGGCATACACGGGTGTCTTGAATTTCATGATTTGTCCATCGATTTTCATTACTTTTGCTGTCTTTTTTCTTCCCAGACTATTGCCCATTTGCCTTTCGTTTGTTCTGTTTCTTTGTATATTGAAATCTAACAAAAAGAAAAGGAATGAAACAGTATTTATAACCGCAAACCTTGTTATTTTAGGGGTATTTTTAAATTGTGGATTCTGTTTTCTTGGAACCCTCTTGAAATCTTGCTACGAGAAGAATACAAATGAAAGGTGGATGCAAGATAAGGACGAGGGGGAGGGGGTCAAAGAAAGAGTACAGAGTTTTAATAAAAGTCGCCTATTTTGACAATTTTGGAAAAAAGAGGTTTTAGTTAGTTTTCCCCTTGTCTTATAGATGAGGTGTGTGATCTTTCTTTTGTTATTTATTTATATATTGTTATATAAAAAGCAACTGTGATTTTGTCACTTTCGTTTTTGGTCATGTATTGGATAAGGTTGTTTATTTGCATGCTAACGAATCAAGTCACTCATCCATGCTCCCGCGTTAATAAATGCCAAAATATGGGAGGTACAAATAGTGGCGGTGTCAAAATTTTTATTAAAGGTATCAAAATATAAAATAGTATACTCAGAAAGAATACAGGTAGAGTCAACATATAACATAAATACATTAAATTTAAAAAGTATCGTGTTACACAGTTTAATTTTCGGGCAGAGAGGTGTCAATTAGCACCTCACTGTGCCACTCAACATATTTGATCGTCTTAATAAGTGAATTTTGACGTCAATATGATTCTTGATGAACGTCGCGATTTTATAATATACCTATATGATATCAGAGTAGATATAGATCTTGGGTTTATGAGTTTCATCATCATCCATTATCAAAAAGAATTTTACATGTTTGGCCTAGGAAAAATGTCAAACCTGCATATGAAACGTGTCAAAGACTATTAAATAAATTAAAGTGTGGTATCCGTAACAATTTAAATTTTAGATGAGATGTGTGATCACCCACAATCCAAAAAAATCAAGTGATTCTTTAGCTTATGCAAAATTACGTAAAACATTTTGTCACAAAAGAATATGTTCAATTCCTACGGTCAATCTCGCATATAGATATCTATAGAAAGAAAAAGGGTGTCCGGCGATTGTGGGGAAAGATGATAATTAGTGATGTAATTTGGTAAGGCAATCATTTCAAACTAATGTACCTAATTGGTTAATTACTAAGTAGTAATAATTAGGATTACTTAAGCAGATAAGACGTACGTAAATCACGGTGTGGATCTTTGAATTAGTGAGAGATCCCATTTCAGTCATCATCATGTGCTTTTTGACTGTTTTTTTTCTAAAAGACAGAAAATATCAAAAGTTACACCAAGATTGACCTCTTCTAATCGGCAATCTATAAAACATTATTAATCATTTTACTACACGTAGAATTATGCGTGCGCATGTTAAAAAAAGGTTGTTAATTTACTATATAATCATACTTACGTAAAGTTAAAGAGTAACTGAGAATTTTTGTTTACGTTGTCAACATGATTTTTAAATACGATTTTAATTTACCAGCAACGGTCTAAAATGATTTTTTGATAATGAAATTGTAAGATTTTCTAGATCTCGCAGAAATTTTCTTCAGGGGCAGAGGTAGTATATAACATGTGGGCTCGACAGAATGTGTTGTTTTGATCTAAACTCTAAACAATTGTTAATAAAATCACTAAGTATATTTAAAAATTAAAATAAGAACCTAATTATTAGTATTTGAGGATGTGTACTAGAATTCAGAATCCCTAAGATACAAATCCTGGCTCCGTATCTTATTATCGGTGAATCAAATAATCAAGGGGTCCCTTGTTTCCTCTTGATGTAGTATCCATTAAAAGCAGCTACTATTGCACCTAATATTTTTGAAATTTCAATGGAAATTAGGTCATATAATGAATTTCTATCGATGTCTAGGCGTTCCATGTGCTATATCGATTCAATCAGCAAAATACTAACTCTTATGAAGATATTATTCATTACTTTGGGAAAGAACATAGCATTTTCACTCCATTAATTATTATTTCAACAGCTTCAATAAGAAAAAAAAAATTTCTCAGCTAAGCTCTTCTTGTTCTTGCTTTGATAGTACTCCCTTCGGTTCACAATAAATGATTTTTTTAGATGTTTTCACACAGATTAAGAAATTCACCTTTTAACATTTATTAGCAATGCAATTGACCATATTAACATTTACTATCTCTTCACATAAACACCTCTAACACATACTCCAACATTATTTACTTTAAGGGCAATGTAGGAAAAAAATAATTAATTCATTCTTGAAATCTGAAAAAATCATTTATTTTGGACTACAAAAAAAAAGGCAAAAAATTACTTATTGTTGACCGGAGCGAGTATCGTCGAGTTTGTCTTCAAATGCAATGTGTTAGCTTTCGTACTGGGCCGGATGTACATTCACATAGATCCAAGCTAATGTTTGGCATATTTCGATATGTGTTGATGTTACTTTGCCCATGTTTTAACCACTTTTTGATGTTATTTAATCTTTAAAACACCCAACATGGTGTAATTATTGATTTGATGACTAATTAAGTTATGTGTGACGATTTAAGGTGTTCGGAGTGCAAAATATGAAGAAAAGGTGGTTTAGCCAGAGGAAGAAGGGTTGGATGCGTCGCATCCAACCTAGGAAAACATCATCCTGCATGCAACCTTAGCAGTGAAGTTGGGCCATCGCGTCCGCCATCGCGTGCGAAACTGGGAAGTAGAAGTGAAGCTGGATGCGTCGCGTCCACCATCGCATGCCAAGCTGAGAAATAGAGGACAAGGTGGATGCGTCGCATCCACCTTCGCAGGCAAAAATTGAAATGGAGGACAAGGTGGATGCGTCGCATCCACCTTAGCATCAATCCCTGAAGCCGAATTGGACTAGGAATAGGAGAGCTTTGGCCCACGACTTTTGTACGCAATATATAAGCTAAAAACGCCTCTTTTAGGTTATCTAACATATTGGGAAGAGGGAAAAAGCCACGAAAAAGCTGTGGAGGCCGGAATTCATCAAGTTTCATCTTTCTCCCACCAAACTTAGTAATTTTTATGTTTCTTTATATGATTTGTTGTTTGGCTACCATGTCTATGTGGAGCTAAACTTCACGTTCTAGGGTTGTGGTTCTTTCATGACTATTGTTATTCGGATATTGATTTTGACTTCTTGATTTATCATATTAGTTTATTTATTCAATCTTGCACTTAATTATTTAATTGCTTGATCACCAATTGAATATTATCTACGAATCTAGAATTGAACTCGAAAGTGGGAATTCTATATTGCATATAGGATTGAGTAGGGCAAGTTCTTGAACTCGGGCATCGGGGAACGGATTCGTGGTTAGGATAGACATATACCTAATTGCCTTGCTTGGTTGATTTACAGGAATTATAAATGCGTTCTTGTTGATTCTAACTCCATAGACATATAGGCGTTAGGTTAGCTTGAATAGGCGAGTAAGAACTCGACAGATTCTTATGAGCAATATTAACCCTGTCAACCAATAAGCTAGATAAATTAGTCGGTCAATTCAATTGAAGAATACAATAGGATTGTTAGATAGCCCATAACCCTAGATCGTTTTCATTACATTGATATCATTAAAATCTGCTCTTTCTCTGTTCAAAGTTTATTATTTATATTTTTCTTATTTAATTAGTTAGAATAAAATATTTTTAGATTTAATTCTTGTTTAGATAATTAAGATAGGCTAATTTAGTTAATAGCTAATCATAAGTCCTCGTGGGTTCGACATCCGACTTTTAGTCACTTTATTACTTGACGACCGCGTATACTTGCGTGAGTGTGTTTGGTCGCAACAAGTTTTTGGCGCCGTTGCCGGGGACTTAGAAATTAGCTACGTGACTAAGTTAAGCTTTTATTAGATATTTGTTTTCAAGTTTTAATTTTCAGTTTGCCTGGTTTGTGTCAACGCAGGGTCTTCTCTCGAATGCAGAGGAGTAGAAGTGCAAACAACCTCATTCCTCTTGATCCAGAAATCGAACGAACACTACATAGAGTGAGAAGGGAACACGAAGCTAGAACGAGAATAGAAAGAGATTTGGACATCGCAGTCCAACCACAGCCAATAGATATGGCAGGCAATGAAGAGCGTCCGGTAATTGAAGCCGCAAGGCCCAATCTTGCGAATATGACTCAGGCTATTGTGAAGCCTGATATCACTGGGCATTTTGAACTCAAACAGTACATGGTACAGCTGATTCAGTCCACAGGACAATATGTGGGTCTATCTCATGAAGACCTGCAGAGGCATATTCAGAACTTCTTGGAAATCACGGACACTTACAATTATCCGAACGTCTCCAA